AGAAATGAGACATGAGAAAAGTATATAATTCCTTGCAATTTACTTCTGACCTTTTAGAACCCAGGTTCGAATAGACTGTAGTCTCCATATCGCTTGGGTCTCATCAACACCGTCACTAGAATCCGAAATCTAGTCGCACATGTGAGCTGACCATGTGCTACCGCATCGCCAAGCAACTGCGGGGATCACAGCATCAAAAGGCACGAGAGAGGCGAAGAAATGTGAATTAGAATTTTATCCTTTCTCACCTCTATCATATAACCAGCGATTTGGTCTCAAAACCATCAATAGATTTTGAATAGGAGCTGGCTTCAGGTCAGGAAGTTGAAGAAGATGGGGAGGACTATATTGAAATTTCAAAAAATGTAATGCGCAGACAATCTTGAATAGCAACCAGACTAAGTCTAGACCGTTGAAGTTGATGCAATTAATGCTACTTGAATTATCTACTACGGAAAGAATTCGACGAATCTTCATACGAACTTAACTCAGCCTTGGCTTTTGAAGGTAAAATGAATTAAAATTGTATGTGTACAGTGGACGCAGCCAGACTCTTTAAAAGTTGAGGCAATTTTGTGATGAAGTAATGATGAGTTAGCAGTGATGTTTGGGAATTGGATTACTCGAAACTGTACTTATATACAAAAGATACTTGTCTCTTTGACGAGTTGCGCTGTGGTGCTAAAAATGACAACGTTCAGTGACGATGTCAGCGAAACGTCCGGGAATGTACCAAATCCGCGGTCCGACTCTGGAAATGATCATGCATACACTGGACTGCGGACAATTCTCGTTCCTCTAGGTCTTCCTGCCAATATGACCAAGTTTCGAAGGCAAGGTTAAACAACTACCAAAAGTAAGTAGCATTTACAATTGGCATGGTAAAAGTACAAATTTGCTTTATCGACAATCCGACTACAGAAATGAGACATGAGAAAAGTATATAATTCCTTGCAATTTACTTCTGACCTTTTAGAACCCAGGTTCGAGTCCTGCTAAGCATGCCGATGAGACCCATTCAGACGAGGTCGAAACTTCAATCCAGCCCAGTCTGGATGAGAATACAGTTCGCTAAGCAAGACGATGTGAAAGTCAATGGGAACCTAATCCTGGCCTACTTTAATCATTTTGGGAAAATTCAGCTCCCAGTTCTTTATCGCCGTCAATTAAATAGAGTAAATAGAGCTATTATATCAGATTTATAAGTAGCCTTGAATAGCTAGTTATGGAGCGATAAATAAGGGCGCATTTTTTTTCAATACGGAACTTAAAATATCGCCCAAAAATGTATATGTTCTGGATGGAACAAGCGAGGGAAGCAATTGACGAGGGTTATTGCACTTGGTTGCCACTTCAATAGAGTCCAGACGAATTGCTATGGCAAAGTACAATCAAATTAGCTGTACATCTTTGGGAGCTGAATTCACACGCATTTGTTGGATCAGGTTCAATTCTATCAGGTGTAAGATATTAGCTATTTTTTGTATATAATCAGAGTTTCGAGACTACTTCATCACCTTAAACGAAATATTGCGAATACATCTGATGTAAAATTTTAGTATTGCTTTGAGCTCGATTTTGCAACGGGGTCCAGCGTCCTAAACCACAGTATTCATCAGAATTTCTTAGACGTTTCGTCGACAACCTAGTCGACGTCGTCAGCGGAATACACCTTCCTTAGCACAAGTTGACAATTGATCAAAGTGACTAGTTGTCATTCTGTGCTAAGGATGGTGCCTGTCATGGGCGATGCCAAATACGATGCCCAGAAACGTATGGGAATGTGTCAAGAAAACTATCCGATGCTGAAAGCCATCGAGAATACTCTGACAGAGGACGCAGGACCAGGTCGTTGCGATCAATTTGAGAAAACGAGGTCAGAAAATACTACATAACTAAAGCAACCTGTGACCAAACAAGAGGTAACACCATCTGCGCCCTCAAATGTACGTTTTGATGTCCATAGCACTACGGAAGAGAATTAGGTTGAATTTCGTCCGAAAACTCAAAACGAAACAAGTGGCCAAAATAATTCGTTTATGGTGTTGTAAGGACAGCACTAGGAATTTGATACAATCTTCTGATCTCCTGACTCAAGAATGCCATTTTAGTTCACCTAAAAGACTAGACAATGCTGAATAGACTGCAGTCTCCATATCGCTTGGGTCTTATCAACACCGTCAATAGAATCCGAAACCGAGTCGTACACGTGAGCTGACCATGTTCTACCGCATCGCCAAGCAACTGCGGGGATCACAGCATCAAAATGCACGAGAGAGGCAAAGAAATATGAATTGGAATTTTATCCTTTCTCACCTTTATCATATAACCAGCGATTTGGTCTCAGAACCATTCAATAGATTTTGAATAGGAACTGGTTTTAGGCCAGGAAGTCGAAGAAGATGGGGAGGATTATATTGAAATTTTAACCAGACTAAGTCTAGACCGTGGAAGTTGATGCAATTAATGCTTATTTAATGATCTACTACGGAAAGAATTCGACGAATCTTCATACGAACTTGACTCAGCCTTGGCTTTTGAAGGTAAAATGAATTAAAATTGCATGTTTGCAGTGGACGCAGCCAGACTCTTTAAAAGGTGAGGCAATTTTGTGATGAAGTAATGATGAGTTAGCAATGATGAATGGGAATTGGATTTATCCCAAGTCGTTGAAGGTGAGATGGTGACAAATGTTTGATTGTATTGTAGGGGAATGAGTTGGGGATCTCGAATAGTAATGAGCCTTAGGTGAGTTCATTGGAAGTAATGAATTATATTTAATCTTCTTATAGTTTCAAATCTAGGTCGTTTAAGTGGATTAAGGACTGATTCCATGAGTTGACAATTCTTGGCGATAAATGACTCATTTGTGGATAGTGTAGGTGACGCATGCACTGAAGGTTGGCTTTTTCACAGTGAAATTACATGGAAATATTTAAGAAACAATATTCTCCTAAAGTGATGCATCAGTGTAATCCTGAAATTCTCATTCCTAAATAAGAACTGGGCTGGTCCCAGGTAGCTCTTGCAAATCTAATGGGGCCTATTTAAATTTCCCACATTGCAAGGAATTAACGAACTTCATTAAGAATTTGACTGTTGAGTTTAATTCCACTTCGAGTAAAAGTGTTTGGTAAATAGCTTCGTAGGTTGATTGCACCGGAAGATGAGGACGGATTTCCTTAGATCAGCTTTCGATTGCCTTTATTGTAACACTCTTGTTGAGGCCAAATGACGGACGAAAACTTGGTACGTTTTCACCGAAATCTAGGGAGACTGCCTCAGGAGCAGCGTCAGCAAGTAGGTTCCAGTAAAACTTTCGAAATGGAAGTGAGCTCAGCAATTATAAATCAGAATATTGCACGAAACCCAACTTTACTTCGTATTTACTGGAAATTTGACTTTGCTTATTGAAGCTGGAGCGAACAATGTCATTTAAATTTCCCAAAATGAAACGAGTTAGGATTTTTTATACGAACCAAACTCAGCCTTGGACCTGGAATGTGATGCAAGGAGTGATAATTGAAATGCCGAAATAAACTAGTTTTGCGCTTCATACTAATTACTCAACTCGTCATTTAGAATGATACAATGAAGAGTCATTTGGTTTAGAGATCTTTACTGTAATTTGGATATGTGAATTGTTACCAATAAAATGAATAGGATTTTATTTAGCATTTTTCCTTCATTTGGTAATTGGCTCAGCTAAACACGAAAATAGGTTAGCCATTTATTCAAACTATGAAGCAGTTAAAATAAATGATTATAATACTAAGCTTGCAGCATTATCGAGTAAACTAGTGCCTCTGTTGCAATGTACAAAACCGGCCAAGGGAACATGGGCTGAACAATGACATTGTATTGGGTGTGGACGGCACTGCGCTTTGCTGAACTGATGTTCCCACGTGATGTCCTGTAGGCGCGTCGTCGAGCCGGACTGTCCAAATCAAATCAAGGCCGGCCGCGGTTGTGGAAAGCACCCAATTCCAGCTCCATTTAAGAGCAGATGTTCCGCAAGCCATGGAGGAAATCTCCTCATACGGTGGACTTGTTAAGTGACCAAGCATGAGGGCTCTCTTCTGTCCAAAGGTCGCCTGGGTGTTGCCATAGTCACTGTAGAAAGGTCGAAAAATGTGTTGCTTTTTTTACCGGATTGCAGTTTGCGCGCCAGCTTCAATTGGAATTAGAAGTGGATTTGGCGCATCAAATAGCCGCACTCTGCCAGTCGATTCGAACAAGTTGCAGACCAGATGTGACCACAAGACAAAGCATACTTTTATTTACAGTTTAATTCTACAATGCTACTAGACACTGATTGAGTAGTAAGCGCAAATATGAGAAAAAACGATCAAATTGACGCTGATTCTCACATCCTGATTTCGAGTCCCTTGTATGGGTAGGGCTATACATGGACAGCTTCGATGCGAACCCATGCTTACATTGCATGGCATTATAAGCGTCTTCGTAGGGCATATTTTGGTTACTGGCTGGTACAGCATCTATCACTATCACCCATTTTAATTGCAATATGAGGGGGTATACAACATACATACATCCACGCACTTACACGTATACACAGGCACACACACAAGCGAGGCCGGTATATTTATAGGGCACCACAAGTTGAAGGGCAGTGACCATCTGAAATGAGGAGACTAGCTTGGCAACTGACTTCTGGTCGCAAAAGCCACCAATACATCTTAGCATGTCTACAAGTCAACTCAAACAACCATCCTTCATCACCTCTTTTTGTTATGGAGATGGAGAAATGCATTTTAAAGCCGGTTTTCTTGTTGACATGTCTTTCAAAGAGGAGGAGAGGATGTTGAAATTTACTTCTTGTCCAAACACTTCTGTTTGGTGATTATTGACAAGTCAACTTGGCTGTGGTGTTAAGGCAAAGGGTATTGTCAAGCTACCGGTTGGGATGAGGGCCCATCAAAATCAGCGTCTTCGTCTGAAGAGCCCGTTTCGAACACCGTCCAAGTTGGCCGCTCCACGTTGTCCCGATCGCCGTTCTGCCCACCCGTCCATTGGTTGAGCGTAAAGTTCAGCTGCCAGGTTCAGCTTCACCGGAATGGCGCGAAGCTGCGATTTGAGCGTCGATTTGCGCCTTTATACCCTGTTGACATGACAACAGAACACGTCCTGTTGCCGGGTGTACTACAGAGCCGTCTGCCGCGGAGAACACACCACCTCACTGCACTTCATACAATTACCATGCATGCACACACACGCACACAGGCGCAGACAAGTGACCCGAAGGCGTGAAAAGTGTTGCTGTTTTTGCAGACTTGTTCCCACTTCACGCGACCTCCTCGCTGTCGGGTACACGCAATTACCCCACATAGGCGTAACAAGTGAAGAAGTAAATCCTGTCCTGGCCAGGTTCTGACAACGCTTTAAAACTAGC